CGCCGGCATTCATGGCTTCGTGGTTGCCCCACAACAAGACGACGTGTCCTCCTTGTGTGGCCGCTTGTTGGGACAATCGTGTCAGTAGGTTGAAACAGAGGAGTTCCTGGTCGCCTCGATCCAAGACATCTCCACACTGAACCAAAATGGTATTGCCACCTATCCATTGATTGTTGTGCGATGCGTTGGCATCGTAGACACCTCCAATGGTCAAGAATTCTTCCAATGCTTTGAAATCTCCATGAACATCTCCAATACAGACCAGTCGTTGTCCCGGTTCCAATGGCAATTCATCATTTGTCGGAGAAACTAAATGATAATTGTCTTGTTCATCATCATCCTGTTGTTGTTCCAAGTGGACCAGATGACTCAGTGGTGCCGTTCGAATATCGAGGTTGGCAGCCGCCGACAAGGGGGCCATCGGACTGCTGGTCGTTGACGAAGTGAGAGCCGTTGTCTGCAGAAAGGCAATCACGGCATCCCTTCGAGTGGCTGAAAAAGCCAAAAGCACCAAGGATTTCTTCCAGACCGACGACTTGGGGTAGATCATTGTCTCTTTCTTCTTCTTCCGATTGTTAATGCTCTTCTTCTCTACCAGGTACTCAGTTCTATCCAAAGAGAGGCCAGTTCTATCAAAAAGAGAGGCAAGGTGGTCCCTTCCACTGATACAGAATTTTATGGTACGACAGCGAAATCTTTGGTACGTTGCCCGCAGTATCGTAGATAAATTTTGGATTCTTCCAGTGATGTCAGACGGCAACTAAAGTGAGAGATGGAATGGAATGATGGATGAATCAGAGATCAGAGAGGAGAAACTGTGGTGGTATGACATCATGACATCTGTCCCTTCCACTTTTTGATATCCTTTTTGGACAAGGTCAAGGTGGCCACATCAGCAAGTTGAGTTCTATTGGTTAGAGTATTCTGGATGGGCAGCTGCATTTCCTGTTGGACAGCGAGTGAGTTGTTGTTCCATTATCCGGTCGGTAGCGGGCAGTTGGTGGCGCTGACGTGGTCTTTCCGAAGTGATGTCAGAGATTAACCTTTTTTAAACAATGAGAATCAGTTTAGGGATATTGGTATTTATCCATCGACCACAAGGAAACAGCCAAGCACTCGACGCAAGGAAGAGATCTTCCATCACAGACACTTTGACACCGTTGTCCATCCGCCAACGGATGATAGCGAGATTGATTGGAACATAATAATGAACCGCCCTCGCAATGTGTTGTTATCACAAGGAGATCCTCGCGAACCGGTCGAGTGCAAATTCCAACATGCCGTAGGAGCCCTCAAATATTCCTTGACGATTCATCAAACTCCCGAAGAAGAAGTATGGCCGGGTGGAGCACTGTGGGATTGCGGTCTCTTGTTGGCCGAGCTGCTCTTGGCCGTGGGAGGCATGGAGGCGCTCACCACCATTCATACCTTGCTCCCTAACGATGACGACAATGAACAACAACCAAACAATAAGAAACATGCCGGCAAAAATTCCAAACACGCCAGTGAGAAATGCACTCGAACCACTAATCAATTATCCCGTCGACTGCAGACATGGTTACAGCAGCAACAGCGAAATAATCAACAACAGCAAATTTGGAAGGATTCTGTGGAGAGCGTTCTCTTGCATCGATCCAATTTGACCGTGGTCGAATTGGGATGTGGCGTGGGACTCACTGGATTGGTGGCATCGATTGCACTGGGAGCCGTCACCACCATTCTCACCGATTTGACTGTTGTGGTTGATCAAGTCACGCTGCCCAATTTGATGCAAAATACGACACAAGCAGACAATACCAAACAGCAACACAAAACAACAGCCAATTCATCATCATTCCAAAATATTAATAAAAAGTACCCATGTCGAACCCTGCGGCATTTTCGAGGAGGAGGCAAGGTGATGGCGTTGCCATTGTGTTGGGGAAATTTTGAGGAGGGGGAACGAGTACTACAAGTCTTGAAAGAACTCCAGCCATCGCCCAATCATAATAATACCAAAGGCAAGGGGGGCAAAAAGGGAGCCAAAAAGGCGGCAACAGACACCAGCCAAAACACGTCATCCACAATTTACCCCGACTTGATTCTCTTGGGAGATGTGGCATACCAACACAAACCAGGAGCACCCTCGCATTTTGATATTCTGGTCGAATCTCTGCAACAACTCATGCCACCACTCCAAAATGACAACCACAAATCGCAACTATTACTGTTTGGAACTCGATTGCGCATGCCGGCATCCATGGATTTGTTGCTCTTGTTGCAAGAACACTTTACACCCGTATTGACACAACCCCTTCCAGCACAAGTCTTGGATCCAGCGCTGGAAGGAGTCAAACATAATATGACCATTCACATATTCACCAACAAAACAACAAACAATAGTAAGCCATCAAAAGAAGCGACAACCAACACCACAAAATAGATGGAATGAATGGGCATGTAGTTGCACTTATGGCACCACACAAAATCCACGATTACGAAGCTCAAACTGGAGATTCACCAGGTTTTTGCCGTCCTTTCATGACAATGCCTCCATGGTTGCTGATTCCAATAAAATTGACAATAAGCCTTCAATTAATTTTGGTCTCCCTGTTCTCAGACTCTTTCACAAGATGAGTTCTCCTTCTTGGAAGTTTCTGCCATTCTCGGGGGATTTTCATTGGAGCTTCAACATGCACTCACAGACGTAGACAGGTACGGTATGGTACCGGTACGATACTGTAGAAAAGCTAATTATTATTTTTTAAAAAATTTCTTGGAGGTTTTCCAATCTCGCACCCAAAGCCCTCTGCGTTGGGCATGCAGGGCAGGGCAAGATGTTACATGTATCCCATCACAAAGTAGTCTGAAACAGCGGCAAAGTGTGGGGTTGTTTCTCCCGGGAGATGCCAATAAACTCTTGGTGGCATATTAATTCATTTGACTTCGACCGGTACCGGTATGGAGGTGTTTCCAGTATCTCATGGTGGCTTTTTAACTGCTCCCGGCATGGAGAGAGGTTTTGTTCTCCCAGGCTGGTGGCAGATTCATTCGGCTCTAGCCGGCTTATTTACTCTTCAATCGCACAAGTGTGCGAAGAACCTGCCAACTGCCCCTTCGCGATCCGACGTGGCCGACATCCCCTTCCAGACCTGACGTGGCCCAGAATTCACCAATGCCATCTTGCCATCTTTTTGGCATCAATGATCGGATTGTTCCCGGCAAGGATCTCGTGTCTTTCGTCTTTCTCCTCTCTTGCTCTACCTGACTTCTCACAAAATCGCTCAACCGAAGAAGCAACGCAGCAAAGATACCAATCAACAAGAAGAACTTGAAAAGGAAAGCAAATCATGGCGCCTCTTCGTCTCCTGGCAACTCTCTCTCTGTGCTTGGCATCCGCCAGTGCCTTTTCCAACCAACCCTTCGTTTCATCCACTGCTCGCAAAGCGTCCTCGTTGCAGGCGGGCATCTCAACTTATTTGAACGATGGCAACTACAATAGCCTGATTATGGGAGACAAGGCCGTCTTGGTCGATGCCTGTGCGAAATGGTGTGGCCCGTGTAAGCTCATTGAACCATTCTTGGTCCAGGCGGCTGGCAAGTACGCGGACGAGCTGGAGGTTGTCAAGCTGGATGTGGAAGCCAAGGATAATGGGGGTGTCAAGGTGGAATTCCTGATGGAAGGTGTCATGCCAGAGGCACTGCCCTCGTTGATCCTGTTTCGAGGTGGCAAACACATTGCCACTCATACAGGAGCATTGACACTGGATGAACTGGATGAGTTCATCATGTCCAATCTCCTGCAACCAGAGGCTGCTAAGAAGGAGGAGAGGGAGCCAGAACTTGTGGGAGGCGGTCGAGGATTCGTCTCATTTGCTTCCAGGGATGACTACGCCTTGTAGGCTAGACATGGCTCAGCTCAACTCTTGTACAGTACAGAATTCATTTTCTTGATACCATGGTTTCGTATCGTTGGCCACCAATTCACACTCTAGATCACACAAGATAAAGCACAGGCTTGTTGAAGGATGCCAACATCATTTGTATACAGCTTGCCCAACAACACAACTGAATATACAAAAAGTGAAACCTAAGATACACTATAACGTCAAGCAACTTATCAAATACCAAACAAGCACATGTACTATGCTTAGCATTGCTGTCCTATCCGTCGCCTTCATGAACCTGAAGGAAGTTGTGTCGTTTAAGAAACCTGGATGAAGGGAGGGGGGGCGAGGCTATTGGGTAGTCCACAGCCCATTTGAAAGCTAGCTTGAAAACGTGAGGAAACATGCAGCTGAAAGGTCCTTCGTTGATCCAAATAAAAGAGGCAAACAAAGGTCAGCTAAAAACCAAGGACTGTCACTCTGCAATGCATGTCAAACGGGCAAGCAACACAAGATATAGCATGTGCAAGCGGTATCAACACCAGCGTTTGTGGGGTTATTGGAAATGCAAATTTCCATAAAAAGCAAATGCGATGCAATTTTCGCCCGTCACGAGGAATGGTATGCAGCGCCTTGTCGGCGTTGCTCAAACACTCGTGTTGGGTTTGTTATTGCCCTCTTTCAATGTTTGTTGTTGTTCCAGAATGGACTCGAAAAATAGTGCCATCTGGAGCAAGAAGGGGCTTTCTCAAACAACGTAGTGGTAACCAACCAACCAACCAGTCAAACAGCCACAACAGTTATTTTCGGTAAAAGCATGCTCACCTGAATTCTCTGAAACTGTCCAGGGCGAGGGTACCAAGGATCATGTTTGTCATGCTGGTTGTCGTGCTGGTTGTCGCTTCTTCTTCTATTCACGGATTGTTGTTTTTGTTGCTGCTTTCCTCTGTCTTGGTGGTGGCAGTGATGGTGGATTCTTCCGCTTTGTTCGTCGTTTGTTCTTGCCACGGATATCGAATAATCCCTTGTCGGGCCGTGTCTTGAATGGTCCGATGCACGGCCTCTCGAATCCGAACGGCTTGTTCGTGTGTGACTCCCTTGGGTGGCGCCCACGTCAATTGGGTAGCATCTTTGCCCGTCAAGGTTTCGTAGAATGTGACAGCCGCCGCGTAGCTTCCCGGCAGTGCGGGATGATGTCCTTCGTAATCGAGCAATTGATAAAAGAGCGTGGTGGGATCTTGACTCGGATCCTTATTGCCAGCAGCAGCAGCGTCGTCGCGGTAAATGGTGGCAAAGACGAGTCCCACAGGTGCCAAATAGGTTTGTTGTTGTTGTTCGTTGGAAGTGGCGTGGACGTAGTGTTGATATCCTTGTGCCGTCAAGTCTTGCATGGTGAGAAAATCCTTGTACTCTTTGGGAATACCACGGTACCATTTCCGTCGTCCCCACGTCATGAAAAAGCAGAATTGTGCGGATGGATTGTGTTGTCGAATGACCTGTATCATTTCCTGGGCGGCTTGCAAGGATTGTTGGTAGGTTTCTTGGCGTTTGGAGTCGGGAGACTGGTACATTCCACCTTGTAGGGAATGATTTTGCAGAAAGATCCATTTCCAGTGTCGAATATCGGCGTTGGACACGAGCCACTTGTGCATCACGTGATGTTTACCGAGAAAAGGAGGTCGTGTCAATCCTTTCCAGTGTCCCTGGAAGGTTTGACCTCCTGGAAAGTGACTCTCGACGTTGATAGTGGCAGTGTCCCACGGACTACTACTGCTGCTAGCACTCGTGGGATCTTCTGTTTGCCGTTGCTGTTGCTGTTGCTGTCCATTGACCATGACAGCTTGTGTCAATTGATCCAGTTCATAGTACCCTGTGTAACTGTTCCCAATAAAGAGAATGTTCTGATCGTCTTGCGCAAAGGGCGTTTCGGGTGGATCTCGAATACATCGTCCCATCCACCGGGCAAAGTATCTCCACCCTCCGCCATCCATTATTTTCGGCACAAAATCGGGATCGTTCAATGCGTGCCACGACACGAGGGCTGCGACGGACAAGAGGGTCACGCGAAGAATGGTCCACACCGTAATGTGGTTGGGCCACCAACAATAAGAAGAAGAGGAGGACGATGACATTATTGTTGCGGAATACCACCCACTCTAACTAACTACAGTACCCTAGTAACTGACAAAGATTCTCCTTCCTTTGCTGGCTACTACCTCGAGTGAGAAGCACCCTCCAAAATGTCCCTTCGTTTTGCTTTCTGGTTGCTTGAAAGTTTTTGGAAAGGTGCGCGACCTCATTTTTCTGACGTCAGTCTTCTTTCGAATTCCGTTGCTTTCCTCGATCATTGCAGCCCCCCTTTCGTTCCTGTAAGTAAGGGTCCTCTTCCATCTTTTTGTGTTCAGCTCAACTCTCATAACCGCCCCAAACACCACCAACTTGACACAAGATGGCAACACTGATATCAATGCGACTGGCAGGACGAAGCTTGTCTCGACGGC